TATTTGACTAGCTACTTCTTCTAAAACATAAAAGAGCTTGTCTTAAAATCATATAATAACTACATTAAACTTACTGGTCGAATCGACAGTATGCAATTGTTTCCATTCTTCAAATGAATGAATACTGGATAAATTCTTTTTAGATAAAATGGATGCATTGACATTTGATTGTTGTTCAGAAGTTAAATGAATTATACTCGTAACATTTTCTTCGACCGCTGGAACACTGAAAAATCAAAGAATAATTTCTACAGACAATCGAGCTAAATGGTAACATACATAAGTTTTGGCTGGTCTTGATGTATTGAGTCAACATCTTCAATCACTTCAGCTGTTGTAGGAACATCACTAAACAAAAGAGGAAAATATGATGATCAAATTATTTCAAAACATGATCTTACTTTGCTGAGTTTCTACCGATAGTCGTCTCAATATCCGCTGCCTTATTGAACAGATTGGCCTAAAATAAAACACAACAGTATCAATCTTAGTGTGTGTAAGAGTTTTCGGAAAATTATCTTAAAGCAATTGGTTTCTTGCAACAAAAATCGATTTTTTAATAATAGCATCTCTTACATTACTATCTGTTAGAATAAACTCATTTGCATTGAACAAGAGGTTATCATCAATTATACTGGAGGAAATATGATTAATTTTTGTTGACGTTAGCAGGGGAGAGTTCTCATTTGTCTGTTTTGCGACTGGAATGGTTTTTGATGATTTTTCTATAGTAATCTGAAATGAACAACAGTTACTTGTTGCAATATGGCTACAATGAATAATATTAATTATACTTCATTGTTGATGTTGTTTTCATCGTCAGCTGTAATAAAATAGGTTACAGAGAGCAGGATGTATATAATTGTGGTCAATCTAAAATAATAATAATAACAACAACAACAACACATATTCGTTTGATTATAAGTTTATCTAATTCTAGAATAACTGACTTACCGTATAAATCCGACTAAAGAACGATTATAAAAGGAAATTAACAGCATACAGTGTCAAAACCAGTCATAGGTAATGGACGGGTATATGTGAAAAAATATCTGAAAATAGTGTGATCAACAGTCAAACAAATTGAAAGGCGATGTTTTTCTCTATTTTTCATTACAAAGAAATGAGGGATACAACGCTTATTTTCCGCATCACACACGTCGATATCGTCGACACTTGATGCTGAATTTCCTCGGTTGCTACAAAAACATTCCAAACTTACAAAACAATATGGTTCTTTGGTCAGACTCGCAGCAATTTTAAGCATCTACTTTTCCATTCGTTTTAACAATACTTTCAAGGTTCTGCAGTCTTCTCCACTCCCAACTGTTCTGATTTTCTCTAACAGTGATGTTGTGCCTCTCTTTCCCATGGAAATGGATTTCTTTCTACAGGTTTTAACGATTATCAGCAAACTATTAAAGTAAAACAATACCATTATAATAATCCATAGCATGTAAGATGGAGTTAAATT